AGCCGCCTCGGCCCCACAGCAGCAGGCAGCGGTGCGCCATGGCCGCCGGCGCGGCCTACTCCGCTCGCGCTCCGCGGGCAGGCGTGGCTGCGGCTACGGGTGGGTGGTGACCGGCAGTCCCGGGAAGCTGGCTCGGTTACAGGCACAACGACGCGCCAGCGGCGCAGGGAGCCCCGGCTCACCGGCGAGCCCACGGTCCCCACGCGTGCGTCTCCTCTCAAGGGGCGTGGCCCCAGCGTGATGACGTCGACGCTCCCCTCTCAGAGGCCGGCCACGCCCTCGGCCGGACTGAAGGGGCGGGGCAAGAAGAACGTGCTGGACGGAGCGGAAGGCGGGCCCGAAGGAGGGTCTTAATGGAGTGCTGGGGTGGGCAGGGCCAGGAAGGGGTGGGGCCTCATGGGGGGGGGCGAGTAGGTGAGGGCGGGGCCTGGAACTTGAGGCCAAAGGACCAAACCTGTCGTCTTTTATTCACCTTTTCGCTTTCGCCGATGGATGTGGTGGCAGGCTGTGCAGATGGCAGGACGCAGCAGGATTTTTGTTGTTTGTTTGAGGCAGCGTCTCCCTATCCATTCGTCCGAGGCTGTGTGGACCAGGCTAAACTCAGACCCATGACTCATAATCCTCCTGCCTCAGCCTCCCAAGTGCTAGGACTACCGACATGAACCACCACAACATGCTCTAAAGGAAGGAAAAGCAAAGCATCCCAAAGCAGTCAACTAGTGATGAATGTGTTGGGACGATGACCTCTATTCGGCCATTAGGAAATGCTTCAAAGAAAAAGGATTCACAGAATGAGGCCTCCAGGTTATGGAAGCCACAAAACTATTTAGGGTTCTTCCGTTTTTTCCACACTAGAACTTGGGAGTCTGATGCTTTTACTCAAAGGCTGGCGCGCTCTACAAAGCCATTTAGCATACAGGACTGCTGACCAACTGGAAAGAAAAGGGACTTAGAATCCCAGCCCACTTCCACTCTCTCTGTATGTGTGATAAAATAGTAGTGTTTAAGAATTTTGAGTGCAGAGGAATGGGAAAAGTAAAGCTGAGAAAGGATGAAAAGGTGGTATAGCCCAGCTTGGGCAGGAAGTTAACAAGACCTTATCTCAATAAATAAGCTGGATGTGGTGACTCACTTCTATAACGCCAGCTAAGTGAGAAGCATAATTAGGAAGGTTGCTGGTGCCAGCCGTGCAAAAACGTAAGACCCTTTCAGATAAACTGAAGGGAAAAAAAGGTGTGTGTTCCTGGTTTAAGTAGTAGAGTCTGGCTATCAAGAGTAAGACTCTGAGTTGAAACTCCAGACTGAAAAAGGTGGGGGGGGGGGGAGCATCAGAAATATCTTCATGTATACACACATGCAGACATGAAAAAAGTGGAAGAACACCATCAAAATGCCACCAGGAATCAGGGGCTGGTGGCTCATGCTTATGCTACTGCTAGCTACTCAGAAGGCTGAGCTATAAGAATCATGTTTGAAGCCAGCCTGGGCAGAAAAGTCTGTGAAACTCTCATCTCCAATTAACCACTAAAAAGTTGGAAGTGGAGCTGTGGCTCAAGTTACAGAGCATTAGCCTTCAGCAAAAAAAGCTCAAGTACAGGAGGGAGGCCCTGAGTTCAATCTCCAGGAGCAGCACACATATGCACATGGACCAAAAAAAAAAAAAAAATCACCAGTGTATACAAGACTTGAACATTACAATCAACCCAGTAACTTTAAAGTTTTTGTGTGTGAGTGTGTGTGAGTGAGTGTGTGTGTGTGTGTGTGTGTGTGTGTGACATAG